GTGTATATATATATATGTGTGTGTGTGTGTGTGTGTGTAACAAACATAAAAAAGAAGGAGGGGAGATAAAGAAGATAGGTGTTTGATAGGAAAGACGGTGCAAACCGTACCAGAGCACCCGCCAACCACCCACTAGTCTTGTTACTCTCTTGTAACACCTCAAATCTTCGGCACTTATATAACCTTATTGTGTTACAAATGCCGTAGAACTCTTACGAAAAAACCTGATTAAAACGCAACTAAAAATGCCAACTCTAATTTTAAAATTCTAAAAATAACACAAGCGTTGTTCTCTCCCCGCAGAACGGCCTCCTGTCGGCGGTGCCGTACCTGGTGTGCTGGCTCATGCAGAATGCCTCGGGGCTGACCGCCGACTATCTGCGCAGCCACGGCCACCTGTCCACACAGAACACCAGGAAGCTCTTCAACTCCTTAGGTCAACTCTTTTTGATTCTATACATATTACAGGGATGGGGATTCTCCCAAAATTTTCCATATTCCGAATTTAAAAAAAAAAAAAAATTGCCAAAGATTGTACTGTTGCATTGTGGATTTGAACAATTTCTTCCTGTGGGAAAGTGGGTGTGGACAAACTATTGCTGCACTGTCACTTGAAAGAGTTACATACTACCATTTCTCCTCCTACTTGAACATGAGAACATGAACATGCAGGGAAAAGAATTACCGCTTGACCATCAAACTTTTGATCTGACCATCAAACAGGAACATTGATCTGACCTGTAGAAGCATTCATTGTAAGTATTTAGATGAATGTAGGCTTCTGTATTTTTTTATTTGATCAATTATATTTGTTACCTAATGAAATAACACCATATTGTAACTCTTTTAAAAAAAATTCAAAACACTCTCAGAGACTACGTTTTGAAAGTTAAAAAGGTAAATTTCTTCCCGGCTTCAGAGGAACTGACCCCCTGATACTCTGCTACTGTCGCAGAATCTTCAGAACAATTTTTGGGGATTAGTCCCCATCTGTGATATTATATTTGGGAAAGTTCGGCACTTTGGCCGCCAAGAACTTCCAAACCACTTAACTTTCAAATTTGACAAAATTAATGGTGGTTCAGAATCGTTTAAAGGTTGCACAGTTTCATTGAGGAGCCTGAAGTCACTAGTTTAATTTTTAGTTTTTCATTAGTTTCGTTTAAATCTAATCTTGGGAAAGTCTGTCTTCTTCTAAGACACCATTGTAAACAAGTAAGGTTTCCGTTCACTAACTTTGCACACCTTTGAAATTCTGGAGTGTACCACCACGAAAGCAGAATAGAGAATCATTTTATACATCTATTACATATTTGGCAATTTGGAAATACATGTGTCACTTTTCTCTCAAGATTTATTGCTCCATTCCAGTAGAGAGTAAATATAGTAAGACAATGACTTTCAGTAGATGTTAATGCACCGATCGTTCCTTTCATCGAAAGGGGGGCCCAGCTAGTCTTACATATACGTGAAAGCCACCAAGATCTCTGAATATGATTTTACTAGAATTGATGAAATGTACAACGCCACTAGTATAAGAAAGATAAAAAGCATTATAAACCACCCATCACACCCCCTTTCCACACAAATTGTAAGATCTCGCAGCGGCAGATATGTATAAAAACAGAGAAAGAAAGATATAAAAGAAGTTTTTTTACCATCTAGCATAAGGCTATTGTCAGAATGACCATCGGTGTGTATTGCTCTTTCGAGTATGTATCTATATAACTCTAAAGGTCTTGCATTTGAATTCCTGCATGTGGTTGAATGATGCATCTGATGCAGTATGTACATTTTGTCAGCTTTACTTCTCTTTTCGTATTGAATTTTAATGAGACTAATATATAATTTAAATTTCCATGTATACATGCATGTGTTTTTACGGTCCTGTACAGCGAAGAAAAATGTCCCTCTGTGATAATAAAGTATTATCTTTTCTTATCTTATCTTAATCAACACTGCACTTGTCAATTGAGGGAAAATCTTAAATATTGGCTGATTCTTTACTTTACTTTACTTTTCCGATCCAGCGACCATTTGGGTTCTTGCCCTTCGGTCTGTCGATATGGCAAAGAATTTACAGGTTTTAATCTGCTGTGCTTTTTCGCTGTACTTGGCTGATTCATGAAGCTAGTTATTAGTTTATTCAGTGTTTCCTTTCATCATATTTAAGATATGACATATTGGCTCAGCAACTTTCCAAGACACTGGTTCAAGAAAACATGAATCCTCTTTATGCAAGTCTGAGATGCGTTCCATGTTTCGCATCCATACATCAGGACTGACTTCACATTTGAATTGAAAATCCTCAGCTTTGTTCGAAGTGAGATATCTCTGGTCTTCCAAATCCTATTCAAAGATATGAAAGCAGCCTGTGCTTTTCCAATGTGAGACTTTATTTCAGCACCTGTTATTCCCTCTCTGTCAACTGGTAGAAGGTAGATCTAGGTGTTGCTTTTTTCCTTCCTTCTGTTGTTTCCGTCTATCAGATGTTGGAAAGAGGTGCTTCTTTTTTCCTCCAACTGGAAACTCTGAAGTTTGAGCTGGGTGGTTGGCGGGTGCTCTGGTGTGGTTTGCTTCTTCTTTCCTATCAGACACATCTAGAGTCGTTATCTCCCCTTCTTCTTTCTTATGTTTGTTACTCTCTTGTAACACCTCTTAATCTTCTGGCTCTCATATGACCTTGTGCAGTTGTGAGCGCCGTAAAACCTCTACTAACACTAAACTGAGCTGGTTTCTCAGTCGATTTATGCTACAACTGTGTGTAACAAACTAACTCCATGTGACGTCCACAGGCCTGGTCCTGCCTGGCGGGCTGCTGATTGTGGTGGGCTACGTGGGATGTGACCACGTGCTGGCCATGGTGTTCCTCACACTCTCCGTGGGCTTCGGGGGCTGCACCATGGGGGGCTACAACGTGAACCATCTGGACGTGGCGCCCAAGTTTGCTGGTAATTGTAATGAATTTTTTTTCCTCGTTCTCGATGACAGCAGCTAGACAGTCAGTCCGATGTCGTGCACAAACTGTGCAGTCCGCTTCAACTCTGAGAGACAATTGTAATGAATGAATGCTGCTATGATACGTAAAAATGGGAATGAACTATGTTGCGAATGTTGAAATAACGATTCTTTACTATCGCAAGTATTTGTCCTTCGTGACAGGTCACTAATTGTCTCGTTTTGAATTCACACGAGATTTCAGTGTAAAAGAAACAACAATAAATCAGTTTTCCGGCAGGCAGGCAAGAGAGAGGCTGTGTGTTTTCGTCTTCTTTACAAGTTTTAATCTTTTTATAATGTGAGGCCATATGCAGCTGTCGCTTTCTGGCAACGAGGATGTGTTTTAAAGCAGCTGTACTCAAGCGCATGAGTCTTTTTTTTTAAGCTTCGGGAAAGAAAAATTAAACAGAAAAAGAAAGCTCCCAAATTGTTTAGAGAAAATTGATGATAAAAAGAGCATCCAAATCAGAACCAAGATTTGGGCGCTGGTGACAGGAAGTAACAAAATAAAGCAAAAATAGATGGCAAGATGCCCCTTTGTGTCTTTATTTGATTGAGTTTTATCTGGAAACCCCCAGAAACTGATGTGGGCAATTGTTGACTGATGCTGATGATTTAGTAATTTGATTGGGTGGTATTGTTGGGGGAAAAGGGGGGAAGGTGGTACTGGAATGTTTCCCATCCCAGGGTTAACCTCTTTGCCTTTGCATGTAGCAGACGTTTGTTCATCCAATCTTCCTTTGGGAGGTTATGTCATGGAGTATCTCCTTTTGTGTGCTGGGATACTGTATCTCACTCAGCTCTTGTTGGCTCTTACAGGCAGGGTCAGCAGTCTACCTCCTACATGAACATGACCTAAATTGTGATAATGGGTCGTAAGTCTTTTTTTTTTTTTTTTACTTCTTTTTTTCCTGGCGATTTTGGTCAGTCAATGTCAACATTGCCTTCAATTTTGATGCTTACAGATTGTTCCTCGTTGTTCCTTTTGTTTTTTTGCCTCTGGCCCAAAGAAGCCCTTTTGACACTTTGCTGATTACAAGTACATTATACAATATATCAGCTTATTCAAGATTTTATGTATCAGCTTGGTGAAGATCTTACATATATATATATATATATAACCTTATTCGATATCTCTCATATCAGCTGTTGCATCATATCAGCTTGATAAAGATCTTACGTACCATATATCGTCGCTTATAGGACGCATTTGTGGACATAATGCAGGTAGATTAGTGAAAGATAAAATTTGGAGGTATAAATGGTATGTTCATTGGTAAGGATGTGCCTTTTTTGGGGGGTGGCACATCATCTTTGTCAGGGATTATTCATAATTTAATAACTTTACTTTAAGACAACACAAATCAGTTTTTTTGACACGTTTGTTTTTCATCAGGAGGGAAATGAATTTATTTTGTTGATAACGCGACCCACAAAATTTGTTCCCTTTGTTGGCGCCACTGGGATTTTTTGGTCTGATTTTATATCTCATGAATAAGAGGCAGGACGACTTTGAAGCTTTGATTTGTAGGTAAAAAGTTGCGTTCTATACAGGATGGTACATGGTATGAAGATCGTACATATTAACTTTGAAAAGATCTTACGTATCAGCTTATTCAAGATTCAAGAAAAGTGCTAACGAGGCAGCAGATAGAAAGTAAGATACAGATAGGATATAATGTTGGGTCTGAGTCGGCTATTACACTCTTTTTTTTTTCTTAACTACCAACTTCTGCATGTCAATTGACAAGTGTCTAATTTTTTGTGGCTCTGTGCACAGACTAACTTACCTTAACTTTTGTTGACTGGAATGGCAAGGGATTTTTTAAATACAAATTTTAAATGTGTGTGCTTTGGGGGGGGGGGGGGGGGGTTTGGGAGGGGGCGTTAGTTTTTTTTCCTTAATGTGTAAGGATGGGATGGGAATTTTTTTTGATGCTTCAGTGTTTTTGTTTTTTTACTAGCAAAATAAATCTTACTGGGGAGAAAGATACATTTTTAATAGGGAAAATTAGATTTTATTGGATAACACAAAAGGCAAAAAAATTCAGTTTCTTAGTTTTCATTATTTTGATGAGCACCTGATGTAACCACAATGCCATAAATCTATTGGTTTTTCTGCTACGATAAAACTACACACCTACCTCTTGTGGAAAGTATCATCTTTGACAGTTTTACTAAATCATTGTATTGAAAATTTACTTCACGCTCACCATCATTTACGCTACTGTAATGAGATTTTGTGTCTGTGATTGATAACTGTTATTTAGCTCAGTAATTTATTACAGAAATGAGGTTTGGTGATTAATTGTTGAAATTCAGGTTTGGTGTTTTATTACTGAAATTTTATTAAGTGATTTTTGACTGAAATTTAGGTTTTGTGATATGTAGGCCTACTTCATTTCAGGTTCTGAAACTTTTTTAAAAACTGAAATTTGAATTCTCTGATTTGTTTTTGAAACTTAGATTTGCAATTCTTCTTTTACTGAAATTTGTTTTTGTGATTTATTACTGAAATTCAGGTTAGGATTAATTTTTGTTTTGAGATTGCAATTCCAAACAAAGCTGACACCGCTGGACTGGGGCATGATTGTGATTGTAGACCTCTGCATGGACTAACGAAACACACAATTTGTTCACTAGTAATGTAGACAGTGTAAGCGATGACAGTGGTAGAGGTGAAATAGGTCAGAACAGTTGGGGAGAGGAAAAGTGTGGAAATAAAAAAAAGCATTTAGGTTTAGCAGTCATGGCCGTCATTGACTGGTGAGTTCATGAGCTATTTATTGTTGGCTCCCTGCTTCTTTCATCTTTTATTTTGTCATCTTCTTGCACACTCTCTCTCCAAACCCTCTTTATTATCTACCTAAGCGTCTCGCTTGAAAATTCAAGGTGGAAAAATGAAGTTGTTTACATTGAAAGTTGTAGTTTGAGCTTTGGTTCAGTTTCACTCATCTCCACATTCAGGCAAATAGTGGATTTATGAAATTTTACATAAAGACCAAAGTACGTTTTAGAATTTCATCCGTTTTTGTTCAATTTGTTAGGGAATTACTGTGCAACATAATATGCGAAGCTTAGAATACAATACAGCTGTTTCTTTACCTGATGTGTGACTTAGAATTTCTTTTTTTTTAAATTTGGAAAACAATATATCCCTTTGCCTCTTTCAATTTCAAGTCAGGCTGTTACAACTACTTTTTGAAAACATTTCTTCAATTATGTATTAATCATAGATGCTCCTCTTTCAACCTGTCCATTGATGTAAACATGACATATCTTTGACAACTATTTGCTTCTATTTATAACCATCAATCATTCCACCTGTCTCTATGCTCAGGTTTCAGATAGACAACAGTCATTGTGGTCCCAAGCTTTTTCATGGCTGATAAAGGAAAATTTAAAAGTCATAATATGAACACTTCTAAAACTAACTTCAGAAATCAAATTTCTGTGTTTTGTCATTGGAAATAAGTTGTATGATGTTACTGGAGTTAAGGTTTTGTGCCATGTTTGGACTCTGATATATAATAATTATTTCTTCCTGACCTGTCTTCCTCTTGCAGGAGTTCTCATGGGTATCACCAACGCTATAGCCACAATACCAGGATTTGTGGGCCCTGCCATCGTTGGATACCTCACCAACAACGACGTGAGTCAATAGCCGTGTTCTCCTGAACACAACAGTAGCATTATACCAGTATGGACCGGCACCGGTATGGTCCGGCACCAGACTTTTTTTACGAGTCAGATCAATACGAATTCAACTTTCAGAAACAGTTTTTCAACATGAGCCTGGAAGCCGTAGTGTAGCTTTATAAAATGGAAAAACATTTTTTATTGCAATTTCTTCAGCTGTCTAACTTTTGAAGAAAAGCAAGATCCCACCACTCGTAATTGAACAAGAAACTATTGAAATCACGGATTCATACAAATATCTTGGCCTTACAATAGACAACAAATTTACATGGCAAAACCACGTAAACAATATCGTTAAAAAGGTAAATCAGAGGCTGTACTTTCTGAGGAAACTAAAGTCTTTCAATCTGAATCCATCCATCCTTCAGATTTTCTACACCACCACAATAGAAACTTTGATAAATTTTGGAATTACTTGCTATGGTAGCAATTTGGGAAGGCAGCACATTATAAAACTAAATAAGTTAATAAAAAAGGCATCAAGAACAATTGGTAGAGACCTAAGTAACTTTGAATATCTGCACAAGACAAACGTTCTAAAAAAGGCGGAAATAATGCTTAGTGACCATAGCCACCCACTGACATCGGAATTTCAACTATCGACCCGCAGTAAACGATACATTTCCAAAAAAGCAAGAACAGACAGATATAGAAATTCATTCGTACCAACTGCAGTGAGATTACTGAACACACAGTGCTACAAATGAAACAGAGAGAGAGAGAGGAAGAGAGAGAGAGAGAGAGAGAGAGAGAGAGAATGAATGTGTTACGGAGCGGGTTGTACCAGCCCGTGAGACATGTATTTACTTGGCCTAATGTCCTGTCTTGTTGTGCGTTTGCGTGAGTGCTCCTTTAAGTCTAACTTTTGTAACGTCTACTGCCATTGTTAACGACCAAGACAAATTTCTCCCTGCGAGATGAATAAAGATTGTCATTGTCATTGTCATTGAAAAGACACATAATGTGTGTGCTATTTTGTTTTTTTTATGAAAAACCTTTTTCTCTTTTAGGAAAAATTGTTGCATTTTGGGCTTAAGCTTGCGGATGTATATTATTGTCTGTCTGTAGAAAATTTCCCCAGCTAGGTAGTGTCAAAGCAGCCGTCCTCCTCTGCGACAGGTGTGTGCAGATAGAACCATTCAACATGTGCATTTTGCTTCACCTTTTGCCACCCCTTTTAATTGTGAAAGCTGAATCCAAAATAGATTGTTGTCACTTACATTTGGAATGGTTACCAGTAAAATAATTCTGTTTATATTTGATTTGTGCATTTATTCATGCAAATTTTTGCCCGCACGAACTTCCCACTTGGCTCGGTCCTATCGGAGACGGACGTTAAACTAGGAGGTCCCGCCCTTTAAATAACCTAATAGTGTTGATAGGGGCGTTGAACCTATACCATTTCACAATTTTTTTTTTACCTGTCTTACTTTTCCTGTTCTCTAAACAACTGTGAACCCCCCCCCCCCCCCTCCCCCGGGGCAGTGCCACTGACTGAAATGTCTTTAGGCCATTCCCAAAGTGGGAACATTTCTTGTTTTAATGCACAGTAGAATTGTAAATGGGCTGATCCAACAATGTCATGCTCATAACTGTGCCTGAACTACAACGGGGAACTGCTGCTTTTTCTTTCCTAATCCTTACTATCATAATTTTCCTCTACTTTTTTTGTATGTTTGTCGCACTCTTGTGACCTGCTATTTCCGGGGTGCCTTGATAGTCGAAGCAGACTTTGTGCTGTTGAAGCTAGAGAGGTGAGCAGAGTAAGTCTGATGCCCTCTAAGGACTTCTCTGTTGACATCCACCTCTTGGCACTCATAATATGACCTTATGCAGACTGTCTTTGTGTTGATAATTGATGTCCTTCTCTTTATCGCGAACAAACAATGTCCGTGAATTGTACAAGCAATTTCAAAAGCTTTTTTTTTTTCGTCCTTTAATCCAATTTTCAGCAACGGAGAAGCCAGTGGCAGATTGTGTTCTACATCACCGCTGCCGTCTATGTCTTTGGCACCATCGTCTACCTCATCTTTGCCCGCGGCGAGGAGATGTGGTGGTCTCGGGCCCCGCCCAAACGCCAGGACCAAAGGCCACCTTTGTCCAGGGAAAATTCTGAGGAGACTCAATCGGTCAACAGCGACCCTCCCCCCGCATACAGTGCTCAGTGATTGGTTGAGATGTTGTTTGACGTCTTGTGTGTACATGCTCAGTGATTGGTTGAGATGTTGTTTGAAGTCTTGTGTGTACGTACTCAATGATTGGTTGAGATGTTGTTTGAGGTCTTGTGTGTACGTGCTCAATGATTGGGGGAGATGTTGTTTGAAGTCTTGTGTGTACGTGCTCAATGATTGGGGGAGATGTTGTTTAAAGTCTTGTGTGTACATGCTCAATGATCGCATTAGACGTTGCTTGAGATCTTGTGTTCTTGTGTGTATTCTTTGGGGATGTTTATTCCATCCGATACTGTTAACCTATTAAACAGTGTGTCCACATGGAGGGTATTTGCACTAAAAGTTTCAATATATGCCTGTCTGAAAAATTATCAATGTTATGGGAGCTCAAATTGTATCATATGGTGCTGTATGTTTGTATGTATGTATATATGTATGTATGCATGTATGTATGTACGTATGTGTGTGTGTGTGTGTGTGTGTGTTTGGATGTGTGTTAACTATAGATGTATTGGTACCACACAGTTCTTTGTTCCTGTCTGGAGGTATGTTGACCATGCATGTGTTGGTGCCATGAAATCCGGCGCTTGTCAAAGTAATGAAATTTTTTTAAAACAACTTTTTTCAGCCCATTGAGCAATTTTAACTTTTTGGGGGGGGGCTCTCTGCTTGTATGTCCCTTTCAAAACACATTTTATTTTCTGTGTGGATTCTACTGAAGATCATTGAAAGAAAGCAAAAAACATGTACGTTTTCAGTTTCCAAGCACTCCCACACTTATGAAGCCACCAAACTTTGCGGCCATTTTCTCGCTAATTTTTGCATTTTTGACACCAGGTGTCTCCCACCCACTTAACTCACAGATATCTCTACTTATGATGTTCATGGTACATAGTTGTTGGGGTTTTTTCATCAAAAAGCGAGACAAAAGAACAAGGTTTAAGATTATATCAGTTACTCCTCTAACCCAAAACTTGACGAGTGCCTGATTCGGCCATGTGGCAACCTATGAGAGGCAGCATGGTGGAATCAGGCTCTTGTCAAAATAATCAAAGGAAAAAAACTTGCATTTTTCCACAGGTTTGTGCATTTTTATCAAATTTTTATTTTTTGGCTCAGCACCTTTCATACCTATTAAAGAACTCATTTAGGTGTGGATTTTTCCGAAAAACGTTGATTAAAGGTACAAAAAATGTAAATTTTTCGTTACCACGGACTCTTTAAGGAAATAACTAATCTTTGGCGACCATTTTCTCACTAATTATACCTCTGAAAATAGGTGAACCCCACCTCCTTCTTTCGCAAATATCTCGACTTGTATTCAAGATAAATGAATATGTTTTTCATCCGAATAAAGACAAGTGAATAAGCTTTAAGATGATACCAATAGCTCTACATTCCCACAAATTGACGAGAGCCTGATTCCACCTTGTGTCAACACGTCATGTGGTACCAAATGTGTCACAACGGGATGGAATCAGGCGCTTGTCAAAATAATGAAATTGACGAAACCAGTATTTTTCTACCTGTTTGGAAATTGTTGTTGAATTTTTAATTTTTTTTTGGCATAACACCTTTTTTGCCCATTTAAAAATCAAATTTCTCTTTGGATTTTACTGAAAAAATTATGATTAAAGGCACAAAAAATGTACATTTACTGTTTCCGAAAACCCTCAAGCTATCAACTTCACCAAACTTTGCTTTCCATTTTTACTGGCCAATATTACCTCAGACATAAGGTGAACCCCACCTCCCCTTCATAGACAAATATCTCTACTTTTATTCTATACAGATGGGGCTGTTTTTTTTCACAAAAAAGCGAGACAAATGAACTTGCTATGAAATGGAGCACATAGCTTTATATGTCGGAAAACTGACGAGCAGCTGATTTCACCGTATCGTGACATATATATGTATGTCAGTGTGTGATGACTATACATGTGTTGATACCTAATGAGTTTGTGGGTGGTTGGCGGGTACTCTAGTGTGGTTTGCTTCTCCTTTCCTGTCAAACGTCTATCGTCTTTATCTCCCCTCCTTCTTTTTGGGGTTTGTTACTCTCTTGTAACACCTCTAATCTTCAGCACTTATATAACCTTATTGTGTTGCAAGTGCCGTAAAACTCTTACTAAAACTAAAAAAAAACTAATGAGTTTGTATTCCTGTCTGGAGGATGGGGGATCGACGGCTGTTTTGGTATGGGGTGCTCCTTCTTTCCGTTCAAACATCTATCATCCTTATCTCTATTTTTTGTTGTTGTAAAATAAATACTATCCCGTTCTACCTCTAATCTTCAGCTATTACATGACCTATTTGAAGTTAAGAATTAATAAAACTATGAATTTTTATCGCTTTGTATCATTACAAAAATACTCCAGAATTGAGCCATTGGTTTCCTATTCCTCTTTTTACTGTCCCCGTCGTTTTATGCAAGAAAAATTCTGAAATTATGCAAAGTAATCCGAAAACTGTGAAATTATTGCGATTCTGTTAATTTTAACAAAGAATGATAAAGGAAAATAGTCAGAAATTATGCAAAAAATGATCAAATTTTGCTAAATTATGCGGGGTGCATAAAACCACGGGGACAGTTTTTAGAATTGTGTTCAGTATAGGTTCCCAGGTGCTCAGGTAAAAGCAAACAAGAATCCCCAACCTGTACCTGACTTACTGCTTATGGTTTACATTGTTAGAATTATTTGAACAAGAGGCTTTTCGAAAAGACATGAAGTCTATATATACATTCCAATGTGTATCAAGTATTGAGACTTTTTACTCAATGATTTGGTGTCGCCTTTAGCAATCTAGCCTCTTGCAGTTTCAAAAGTGTTCATTTTGTATAAATACAACACTTTTTAGAGGAATGAATAGAATGCCAATAACTTTGTGTGTGTGTGTGTAGGTGTGAGTGTGTATATATGTGCGTGTGTGTGTGTGTGCGTGTGTGTATGTGTGGGCGTGTGTGCGTGCACCAAGTCTTTGGCTGAGTGGTTTGTGAGGTCAGGCTCACAATAATTTAAATGATGATTATTATTATTATTATTATTATTATTATTATGAATATGATGATTATTATTATGATTATTATTATTATTATCATTATTATTATTATTATGATTATGATTATTATTACTATCATCATCGTCATTATTATTATTATCATTATTATTATTATCATTATTATTATTATCATTGTTATTATTATTATTATTATTATTATTATTATTATTATTATTATTATTATTATTATTATAAGGTATTAATGTATGTATTTATGTGCACCATTGTAAAACAAATTTTCCATATGGACCAATAAAGTGGAATTTTTTTTTTTCATATCCTTATTTTTTATACAGCAAATGTGAGGCAGCGTGGTGAACTCAGGCTCTCGTCAAAATAATCAAAGTGAAGAAACTGGCATATTCCCACAGGTTTGTGAATTTTTATCAAATTTTTGTTTTTTGGCTCAACACTTTTCATGCCCACTAAAAAAACCCAAAATTTCTGTGTGGATTTTACTGAAAAATGTTGATTAAAGGCACAAAAATGTAAATTTTCAGTTTCCACAGACTCTCAAGCTAAGGAAATAAATTAATCTTTTGCGGCCATTTTTCCACTAATTTTACCTCTGAAATCAGGTGATCCACTCCTCCTTCAATTATAAATACCTCGACTTTTATTCAAGATAGATGGATATTTTTTTCGCCAAAAGGAAGGCAAATGAACAGACTTTAAGATGGTACCAATAACCCCATATGCCCCAAAATTGACGAGCACCCGATTCAACCATGTTGTGACACAATTATAATAGATTATTCCAAAGATGTATGACTGCAAGATTGTCGTCAATAAGATCCTCCCTACTAACGGAGCCATTCCATGAAAAATTATCAAACCGCAGACACACGTGCGCGTCTCACAGAGATGATGACTAACGGAAAAAAATTTTGAGCAGTAATGGAACCTTTATGTATTGTTTTCAGTTGTGCCACGGCACGATGAAATCAGGCGCTCATCACATTTGGGCTTATGGAGTTAATGGTATTTATTTATAACCTGAAAGCTTATTCATTTTCCTTGCATTTTTTTTTTATGAAAGAAATTACCACTTTTGTTGATTAGGACTTGAAATATTTGCGATTGAAGGAGCTGGGGGGGGGGGAGGGGGGGGGGGGTTGGCTGGTTTCAGAGGTAAAATAAGCGAGAAAATTCTGCCAAAGTTTGATAACTTCAATAGCTGGAGAGTCCTTAAAAACTGAAAATTTACATATATTTTGTGCCTGTTATACCATGTTTTTCAGTAAAATACCCGTGGAAATGCATTTATATGAACGTAAAATGTGTTTAGCACAAAAACAAAATTTGATAAAAATTACCAAACTGGCAGAAGAATACCTATTTCTTCGATTTCATAATTTTGACAAGTGCCTGACTTCACCATGATGCCTCACAATTTCTTGAACAAACATTTTTTTAAAAAGGAAATAGGCGAAAAACCCTGTTTCTATAACTCAAATGTTTTGAATTTTCAGCAGTTCATCAACCCTTTTTACGTGGGCCACTGAAGTTTCCTTTGTAATGGAATGACCCGACATCTAAGAAGAAACCAATGTGTAGTAAGAAAAGACACAACATAGTTATGCCAAGCTTTCACTAATGAGGAAGTTTTGCGGCTTCTCATTTTCAGCACATAAAGTTTTAGAGTTGTACATGTACTAATGTACATGTAGTTGAAATAGTCCCAGACGGATTGAAAATCTACATATATTTACACTGATTTTTAAACATTTTAACATTTTAAAATCTAACTGCTGACCCGAGCCAGCCGTACAGTAAACTGTTGTGAACAAAACTAACTTGTGTTTCGCGCGCTCATATGACCTTATGCAGTTGCGAGCGCCGTAAAACCTCATACTAAACAAACAAACAAGACAGGCACCCTGTCGACTGTGGAGGTGAAAATTGTTTGTCATATATATATAGATGGGTGGATGTCTGGGACAGTGGTAATATAATATGTGTCACAACGCGGTGGAATCAGGCTCTCTACAATTTTTTGAACAAGTGGTCATTTGTACTGTTGATTGTCTTGAACAAGTGGTCATTTGTACAGTTGATTGTCTTGAACAGGTGGTCATTTGTACTGTTGATTGTCTTGAATAGGTGGTCGTTTGTACAGTTGATTGTCTTGAACAAGTGGTCGTTTGTACAGTTGATTGTCTTGAACAAGTGGTCGTTTGTACAGTTGATTGTCTTGAACAAGTGGTCGTTTGTACAGTTGATTGTCTTGAACAAGTGGTCATTTGTACAGTTGATTGTCTTGAACAGGTGGTCATTTGTACTGTTGATTGTCTTGAATAGGTGGTCGTTTGTACAGTTGATTGTCTTGAACAAGTGGTCGTTTGTACAGTTGATTGTCTTGAACAAGTGGTCATTTGTACAGTTGATTGTCTTGAACAGGTGGTCATTTGTACTGTTGATTGTCTTGAATAGGTGGTCGTTTGTACAGTTGATTGTCTTGAACAAGTGGTCGTTTGTACAGTTGATTGTCTTGAACAGGTGGTCGTTTGTACAGTTGATTGTCTTGAACAGGTGGTCGTTTGTACAGTTGATTGTCTTGAACAAGTGGTCGTTTGTACAGTTGATTGTCTTGAACAGGTGGTC